TTTTATGTAAAATTTTATTATTATAATTGGTCTTCCCTGTCATCCCCACAGGTGTGTTAACAAGATGGTCTGCTCTCAAATCTCATTATTTTTAACCTCAGAAATGTGAAATGTTGATGTGTTAGTTTAGGGACATGAGTTTTCTGAATCTTTTGGGAAACAGTATTGCTTTATAAGTGCAATTTGAAAGACAGATAAGGTATAAATTAGGTGGGTAGATGCATGGTGACGGAGTGTTCACATATCAGAGCGTGCAGCCCTGGAGTGGTGGTGAGGGTGGGCAGCAGTGCTGGGTAAGGGAGGTACATCAGAGTGGACATGCAGAGTGCTCACAGGCGCTCTCCACATTTCCGAATTTCTCTTCCCCTAAAAACAAAAGAAAACTCTGTCTTTGAATAACAATTCTCAGAATTCAGTATTCATTTTTTTCTTTCAGAAAACTGAAGAATGGGAGAAAAATAAGACTGAAGCAGACATGGAAGAGTATGTATGGGAAAATAGCTCCTCAGAAAAAAATATCCTGGAAACACTTCTGCAAATTAAAGCTGCTGAGAAAAATCTGGAAGTAAATAAAGAAGAGCTCCTTGGTACTAAAGAAGTTGAAGATTACAGAAAGTCTGTTGTTAGTCTTAAGAACGAGGGGGACAATGAAAGTACCCTTTCTCAATACAAAGAATCAGTGAAGAGACTATTAAATTTGACGTGATCTATTGAGAAAAATCTGATTTATTCATTTTGTGATATATATGTAATCATTATCTAATTTGTTATAAAGTTGAAAATGTTAAAAAAACATTGTTTTACATCAGAGTTAACATTACTCCTTTCATACTGTTGCACAATGGCACTGATGATTCAGAAGTTTTCTTATTTATACACTGGGGCAATTAGACTAATTAGATCTCTGATTTCTTCTGGTTCTATAGTGTTTTGATTTTATTTCTGCCATACAATGGCAGTATTCAAATATATACATATATTGTTATTTTGTCACTGGCTATATTTTTCTCCCTACAAATTAGCACTTAGTGGTTGCATATGAATAACGATTGTGGTTATTTGGGAAGCTCGGCGCACAGCCCAGTCCCCTGACTGCAGTTCACTGCTTGTTTTACATAAATGCTGTCTACCCAATATGTTTTTCACAGATGCTAATTCTGATTAGAAGCAGGTCCTTGAGAGTATTTTCTTTTTCTTTTCTTTTTTCTTTTCAAGATTTTATATTTTCCTTTTTCTCCCCAAAGCCCCCCAGTACGTAGTTGCATATTTTTTTTTTTCGTTGTGGGTCCTTCTAGTTGTGGCATGTGGGATGCTGCCTCAGCATGGCTTGACAAGCAGTGCCATGTCCGCGCCCAAGATTCCAACTGGCGAAACCCTGGGTTGCCGAAGCGGAGCGCAGGCACTTAAACACTTGGCCACCGGCTGGCCCAAGAGAGTATTTTCTAACCTAAAAAGTTTGTTCCATCCCTCTATTTTGGGTCTACTTTATGTTGATTCAACTCTGTTTAGCATCCTACTTTCTATTTTCTGGGGCTCATTTCTCCAAGCCCAAGCTTGCAGAAATGTGGTGTTGACCTTAAACAAATAGCCAGTTATTTCTCCAGCAAAAATGGGGTTTTGGGGGATCAGCAGAGAATTGCAATTTGGGATATGCAACAATGGCAAACCATGTGCAAGTCCTGAGCAGCAAGGAGAGGAGAAACTCAGAGAGAGGGCAAGAGGAAGTTGGGAGGGCTATTGTAAGCAAAGAGTATTGGGAGGAGGCTGGGAGTTTAAAGTGTAGTGGCTTTTCATTGGCTGAGCTGTGACAGTCTCTCATTGGCTGAGCATCTTGCCAGTCAAGAAGGGGAAGTCTTTCCTGTTGGGCCCTACTACCTACGTAGGCCATGAGGCTTCTCCCTTCTGGCCTTCCAACTGTATTTTAAATGAGATTTCTGCTTACTAATTTTCACAGTGGAAATAGTTAACTGGTATTCATCTGTCTGGATCCCCCAGTTACAGCTTCTACAGCTCAGGAAAGAGATGAGGTCTAAGGACCTTGAATTTAATTGGAATAAATGACAAAATGAGAACTACCCTAAGAAACATTCCAGTCAATTTAGCTGTCAATTCAATATATATATATGTATTTTTTTTTAAGATTTTAGTTTTCCTTTTTCTCCCAAAGCTCCCCGGTACATAGTTGTGCATTTTTAGTTGTGGGCCCTTCTAGTTGTGGCATATGGGATGCTGCCTCAGCATGGCTTGATGGGGTGGTGTCATGTCCATGCCCAGGATTCGAACCAGTGATACCCCGGGCTGCCGAAGCAGAGCTCGCGAACTTAACCACTCAGCCACTGGAGAAATGGGAGAATGGGAGAAAAAGTAATAAATATTTTAAAGTATATCTGTAAGTCATTTCTTACCACTTTCAAAGTTGTCAACAAGTGATTAATCATTAAATCAAAATAAAGGAATTATTGATTTTGTTATTTGCCTTAAGACTTATTTTGCCTGGCAGAATTAGAGAACATAATTAAAGACAAAAGAAATTTCAAAACAATTCCCCAAAAGATTTATATAAATTGAAGGTATGATTTGGTATTAGCAAGGCCAAGAGTCTGTAGGTTATAAAGGACAACAATAGGGTCTTGAGTACAAAAAGGAGAGAGGGGTATGTTGTATTCCATTGGATGGAAATTGCAAGTGAAAAGCAAAGTAGATAAAACTGAATTTTTAGATCAGATTTAAAGCATACGTAAATGTATTGAAATGTTATGTTTCTTCGAGACTCACGTAGGGTTAAGGAAAACACAGATGCAGAAACGGTTGAAGAAGGAAACGTTTTGAAAACAGGAGAAACTGAGGAGAGAGGTGGTCATTTGGGAACATGTGAGAGTCATCGATCCTGTGGTAGTAATACAGTGCAGGTGGAAGCAGGGGGAGTAGTGATGTGTAATAAAGAATTTGACCTTGCCCAAAGAGGGGTCATTCCTCATAAAAGTGTCTTTGTTTAGGATGGGAGCTGGTGACAGTGGGTTTTAGGGTGGGGCTGCCCACACCTGATAGTCTTGGGCATGCCAGAAAAACCAACCATGTGATTTATAAGTGGGGACTTTGAGTCACCTGGAAGATCAGTGCACCTTGCAGCTCAGATGAACTGCCCAGGTAATCAGTCAATCTAAGCTGTGTAATGGAGCCTGAATAAGAACTTTGAACACTGGGGCTTGGGCAGGCTTCTTTGGTTGGCAATAGTCTAGGCATATTGTCACACACTGGTACTGGGAGAGTAATGTGTCCTGCCTCCGGGGGGAGAGGACACCAGAAGTTAACGAGTTTGGAACCCTCCTGGACAGCATCCTATGTACTTCTTCCCTTGGCTGATTTTAATTCATATCCTTTCCCTATAGTAATAAACTATAATTGTGAGTCTAACAGTTTTCATTGAGTTCTGTGAATTCTAGTGAGTTGTTGAACTTCAGCGTGGTTTTGGGACACCCCCCCCCCCCCAACTTACAGTTGGTGTCGGAAGTGAGGGTGGTCTTACAGAACACTATGCCTTTAATCTTTGCAGTTTGGCCAACTCTGGGCAATTGAAGTGAAGACTCTTAAACTACGGCATTAACACCTAGTGGCAAAATCTTAGAGCTGTAAGATTAATACAAAACTGCCTCAAAAGGATAACAGTTGCTGTCATTGTGATTTCAGCAATAATTAAACAGCACTATTTGTCATTAATTAGATCCTTGTCCTTTAAACTATTAATTATATATATACAATGAACATTATCATATTCATCCTTATGGTGAGGATTCTAGGGGATACTTTTTGCTGTATTGATCTGCTCTTCAAACTCAAGTTACATAGCTCAGAAGTTGCTTAAATACATAGGCAGCTAAGAAATAGAACGAAGTTGTTTTCCTAATTGTAGGGTGCTTTAGCTCTTTCTTTGCATTTTCTTTCCAATATTGGTAAGTATTTCATAATACTGGACGATTATAGACTTTTGTGAAAAAGGTCTGGCTAGTTACAAAGTTGGAAAGATTTCAGTATCATGGTTATTTCCCAGATGGGTGTAACAACCTTAGACTTAGTTGCTGACTGGGCCCTGAGATCTGTGTTTCTTGAATTTTGGTATTCGGAAGTTCTCTGGTCCCTTTAGCTTCCGGTAAAGAAGTGGTTTCTAGGCCCAGCTGTTTGTGTTTCTTGGCTGACTGTTCTGGTTGCATGTTCAGTCTAAGTGGACTCAGTTTACCTGATAGTCAAAGATAGGGGTTGGAGAAGAGTTTGTTTTCTTACAAAGGTACATGTTTTTTTCAAATTAGGGTCATGTCTATAAAACAATATCAATTTTAGAGAATGAATAAAATTCTGAGAAACCTCAAAGAAGAAAAAACTTTTTTTTTTCCTAGCAGCCCTAGTTTGCTGGGAAACCTTGAAAGAACTTGTATATATTTCAAAGAAAAGTAAATAATGTTTTAAAAGAATGTATGTACAAATAATTTTTAAAGATAGCTTCCTGAATTATTAAATATCATTTTAGGATAATTTACATCTTTATGTCACCCCTAAATAGCATGTTTTTTTCCCCTAATGTATTAGGAAAGAAATTGATAAAATTTCTAACACATTATGAAATGCAAGTTAAGGTAAATTGATTAATTTTTTTAAATTCAGTCTTTTATTTGTGGTTAATATTTGGAGGGAACAGTACTATTTTATTAATCTTCTAATAAAATTTCTTCTCTCTATTCTTTATGCTTATTGGCTGTCTTTTAATATCTGTTCTCACATTTAAAATGAGTTTAAGGGATGAGAGCAAAGGCCTAGAGTTTAAGATCATTAGAGACTTGAATTGCAGTTTTCTGCTTTTAAGAGTTTGAGTGTAAGATTTAGGGGGTAAGTCTGGTGTAAGAAGTGGAAGAGCTGAAATACCTGGAGCTAATATTTGCACCTGGGAAAACAATATATACAAGTGAGAGATGTAAACTAGAACTCCCAAGCTTTATTCAACAGAAGTCAACACAAAACTCAAAGATGTCAGTGCCATAATTATTGAAAGGCATGTCGGCTTTAGGAAATGAAGATGATGGATTAGGCTGGAGAAGGATTAACCAAACAAACATAGAAAAGTGTATAAAAAATCAGGAAACATTTGCTATGGATTAGTAACAGTAATAATTTATAGTGCTCTTTTGCTCAAATCACTAAAAGATTTTATTAAGTGTCAATAATTTGACCTTGATGGGAGACAAATATATTATGATGTTTTCCTCCGTGTATCTTTCTTCCATGCCTATTGGGAAAACGGAGGCTTTTAGTATAATGGTGGTTTTGAGTGAGGACTTTTGAAGCAGATTTTCTGTTAAGTCCTGGCTCCACTACTTAGTAGCTGTGGACTTTCGGTAAGATTCTTAGCTTCTCTTCTCCTCAGTTTGCTCATCTGTAACATGTGATAGTAATAGTGTAATGGTTGATAATAGTTTACCTAACTCACGGAGTTGTAAGAATTCAGTGAGTTAATACACGTGCAGCACTTAGAACTACGCCTCTCATTCAGTGCTAATTAACTGCAGGGGTCAGAATTTTGGAAATTTGGCAGAGGGTACCCTATTCCAAAAAAACATATAATCAAAAAAGCAGTTATATGTATCAAGCATTGGCCATTTTTTAGAGATTGGTAGGAGCGGCATCCTGTACGATTATTTTTTTAACCAAACTTCCCTTGTCTTATAGAAAACTAAAAATGAGACTCTTGAAAGCTTATAGTCTCTACAACCTTTACTATTAAGAGTTCTCCTTCAGGATGTCACATTTTGTAATTTGCCTGGATGCTGACTTCTCTGTCCTGGTTTGTACTGGCCCTGCTGCTTGCGAAAGCATCCAGATGCCAGGGTGACTGTACAACAGCAAAGAAAGATGACAGAGGTACTGAGGACCACAGGAACCAGCCATGTCTTTGAAGTCACAGATGCCCCATCAGGTGTTTCATCCTCATTCCCAGATGTACGGTTTCTGCTGTTGTACCCCTTGGTTTTGTTCAGTAGTTGTTTGCTACTGTTGAGTTGGGATGGAGTAGGCATATGAGAAAGTTTTGTGTCTATGGGCACAAAGAAAGGAGAAATAGTCTTGTTGTCTGTGTTGTTGATGAAATCAGTACGGGATGGCACCATATTGACCTCTGTGGTAATGGAGTCATTCAGGGAAATGAATCTTGCCCAAGCATCTGTGGTTAATTTCTTGGAATACCTGATATTGTTTGTGTTTGCAACCAAATCTTGATGTGTGGTTGATGATGGAGCCTCTATTGATGGTAACATTTGGTTTCTCATGGTGGTTCGTTGTTTATCTAAATTCATAGCTTTTAAAATCCTTAGTCTGTCCCAGGTATTAGATGAAGAACGGGTATGTAGATATGTGGGAAGTGATTGTCCAAAAACCAGCAAATCTGGATCTATACCTGAAAGATAAAAAAGCATTGTTCAAATTTTATTTTTAAATGAAAAGAGAAGACCTTAAAGTGCAGTTTGTAGCAGTCCTGGGTTTGGCCGCTGTGAGTTATTGAACTAAGCCAATTTCAAGTTCTACCACTGCATTCTTCTGAAAGGCTTAGAAATGCACTGGCCTCATTTGAATTTATCTTAGCTTTCTAAGACACTTTCATTTGTCAACAAATTTGACTACATCATGGAGAATACTTTGTGTCTGCCAGAGCTTTTGCGCAACAATAGCAAGAGCTGCAGAAACAGTAACTAGTTGAGATATACAGCATTTTAAAATCAACAAAACAGGGCCGGAGAAGTGTAACTATTCAAAATCATGAGCAAAGCTCTAAATCTCATCCCTTTGCAGTGCCTGAGGGTCCTGACATTGTCTTCAGTATTTTCTCTCTTGTAAACTAACTCCTTTCCCTCTGACTTCAGACATGCACAAATATTGCTTTGTCTTTAAAGGAGAAGAAAAAACTCTACAGTTTTCCAATTGTCCCTGATAGCATCACACTGTTTCTCTCTCTCTCTCTCCCTCCCTCTCCTGCTCTCCCTCCCTCCCACTCTCTCTCTCTCCCCAAACACACCAATATCCATTTCTTTCATTTCCTTTCTGACTTTGTTTTTTGCCTTCTCTCCTCTTGTTTCCATCCTCACTATTCTGTCAAAATTATGCTTCCGAGGTAATCAGTACTTTCCTTATTTCCTGATCATTTATGCCTCATTGCTTTGGCATGTCTCTTGTCCTTGATACTGCTGGCCATCCTGTCCGTGAAATTCTTCTCCCATGACTCCCTGGAACCCAGACTTCCTTGGCAATTTACCCCAGGTCGCCTGCCTCTCATCTTTTCTTTCTTTTGCTGGTTCTCTTCCTGGTTCAAACTGGTTGTGTAGTTTCCACCATCTTTAGTCCTTGGTCTTCTGCTGTATTTTCTCTTCATCTCACACCATCCAAAGAGATTATCCTCATCAGCTGTTACCACTATACTGATGGCACTGAAATCCACATTGCCAACTTTTTCCTCTTTCTTGAGCTCTGATCTCATTTCTCCTGTGTTCTACTGAAGGTCCCCAGCTAGACATCTCATGTCATCACTAAACATTCCAAAAGCCAAAATCATTTCATCTGCCTCTTTGTCTTACTCAGTGGCATCACCATTTTTCCATCTCCTATGGTGGAATCTGTACTGCAAAGTGATTTTTTACTCTTCTTTTCCTTCATCCAAAAAGTAACTAAGTGCTATCCAGTCCCTTCCTAAAATGCTGGGAATCATCCCTCCTCTTCGTGGCAACTACAATCAACTTGTCCAGATATAATGCCTCCCTTACTAGATTTTCTAAACTGCATCCTGCATATAATTTTCCTAGACTAAGATAATCAGATACGTCACTTTAATATCGGCATTTTGTCCTTAAGTACCCTTGTTGGTTCCATATTTCTGACAAAATCAAACCAAAACTACTCTCTCCAAAGCCTTTTTGTTGCCTGTCCTACCCATATTTTCGTTGTAACCCCAAATGTGCCCTTGTAGCCAGCTCGGTTTTCTTACTTTCCCATGGTGTGATACAGAACTCCTTATCTTGCCTCTACCTGGCCTCTTCCACAAAGCTTCCTCTGAATAGTCTTGTTTTCCTTAGTCTCCCCTTCTTTTGAGCCTTCGTACTTGAAGCAGTATTACACACTTTTGCAATTATATGTCTTACACAAATTTTAAGACTTGTCACATCAACTAGATCATGAGGAAATTGAAGGCAGAGATATGCTGCCATCGTCTGCAATGTTGAGCACAGCCTGGAGCCTTAGGTGTTCAATAAGTACAAATTGATCAAGAAATTTATCTCCTTTGTATTTTGATGATAAAAATCTATTCTTTCATGTTTACTAATCTGCACCCTGAGATTAGATACATGGGCAAAGGACACTTAAATATATATTTTCTAAAATGAAATATACTGGTTGTGTTGGGACCAAGGATATGCTAATGAATGTCAGTAAATGGTGGTGCATTTCCCCGTCCCTTACATTCATCTTTGTAGAATATGTGTCCTCAGTGTCAACAGACCTCAAAACCGCCATTTAGCATTTTCTTTATTTCCTGGTGGCATCCTTAGCCACTGCAGTAGAAATGCCTACTTTGGCTCTTGCTGAAGGCACTTTACGTAAACGAAATGTAATGCTTAAGCTGTTGTTCAATCCCATGTGATTTGTTATCATCTGGAAAGAACTGTCATTGCTGAACATGCCAAGCTAAAGGGAATTTTCTTTTTAGTTTTCTGCCCTGGATGCCCAAAACTTTTCCAGAATTCACTGGAAAATAATGATTTAGGGATTCATCCATGGCTATTGCCAGCCAGTTTCTAGGTTATATACTTCTGCTAGAATGTTACCGTTTGTCAAAATACATACAAGTACAGAAATCATTACCGTCTGTTATGTTGTATAAAATGGCACTGGATCCGGGCTCTAATATGCAGCTCTCCAGTGTTGGGCAGTGAATGTGGAGGCAGTTGACATTATCATGAATGGGATCGTGGTAGAAGACAGCCAGGTTACAGGAAACTGAAAGGGAAGCAGGCAAAGCACATCTGCTGATGGTCTTCATCTCTACCAGCTTGATGAGCTTGGAGCAACTCATCTTTCTTTCTGCAACACTGGATTAACAGTACGTTGCAGGGCTATGTTCAGACATTTTACAGAACATTACGAACTACGGTAACCATTTCTATGAATATGGAAAATGCCTTTTTAAAAGAAACTATCTACTGATTTCCTCTAAGTAATCTTTCATACCTTCCCTTCCACACAGGATTGCCTGGAATCATTTCCCAATCCCAGCATTTAGTGTTCATGAACAATTCAATAGGCTACACAAACCTCTGGGGATTTATGTATATCAGATTTCTAGGTGTAATGCCCTCTCAGAATGCTAAGGTACTAGAGTTCACTGGAGAAAGAAATAGGAAAATAAAGGGACAAATGCTCTAAGAGAAGAGGGAGCAACAGAAGGGAAAAGGGCAAAACTAGTAGTGACTGTATTACTGGGAGAGGCTCAGATGGTGGAAAGGCAGCAGGCCAGGTAAACGTTAACTTGACCCTGAATGCAGGTGTGCAGTAGCCTCACATTGCAAAACCACATCCAGTGAAAAGCCTCATCAGTGTCACTCAAAGAGGAAAGGAGGAGATAGACAAGGATGTTAGCATTGGGAATGCCAGTGGGCAGGGGTACATCCCTTGCTCATGCTGTCTCCCCTTTTCTAAATACGTTTGCTCCTTAAAACATAAGATGTTATTTCTGGAAAACCTTAAGTCAGATTTGTTGAATGCAAATCTTCAGTCTCTCCTCCCTGAAGTGAAACATATATTTTCCTCCTGCTGCAGTGTAGTAGGAACCATGTGCTGGGAAATATCCATTGGCCAAAAGGTATCAACTTCTTTAAGAAAATAAGATTACAGACGGATAGTGTATGATTACCAGCGGTCAGACTGTGCCTAAAGCTGCCGTGGAATTGCTGTTGGCAGAAACTGTTCTGCTTCTGCGTCAGGTTAACTGCAAAGAGTTGTGTCTCCCCTATGACTTCTAGGACACTCCATATCTCTGCACTCTTTATGTTGCCAGTAGGAGAAAGAATATGACAAACGTCAATAACACATCGCTAATTCATTATAGATTACAAATGCATTCCCCGAGAACTGTGCTGTATAGTTTAAGAGAAAGGAATAAATATTCAAATCTAGACATCTAAATTTTGGGTAAGAAAGTAGTTGATGCTGTAGAGAACAATTTTTAAATATCTTCGAAATCACCTTTTTAAAGGTGTTTTACATTCCTCCTCATAAACATTTCAGAGTCCCAGCTCTGAGCAGGTTAGCTATTGCAGGATTGTGGCTTTTTAAGTTTCTGGCTTCCATCCCAAAACTGGGATGTATGTCTATGCCCTTTCTTCTGGAGGAAGAAAGTCACAACTTGGAAGGCACAAAGGCTCTAAAATCATGATGTTCTACTGGATGCTTATAATACCCCTGGAAGTCCAGAGGCCACGGCTTCCCTGGTGTGGAGAAGTCAGGTAAATTGATGCCATGGGAAAATGCTGAAAAGGTACTGCCCTCCCCCACCTCCCTGCGGTGAAGGCTTATGGCAATTAGAAGCATGTCTAAGATTTCTCTTTAACAAATTAATTGCTCTCTTCTGTGCTTGATTAACTTAGCCTGTGACAGCTTTTCACACTGTGGTCTCTTGATAGTTTAGACTCTCCAAGTAGCTCTAATTTGCATCCCAGAAATCTTACGCGCATAATTGGATAGGAGGCATTGCCAATTAATAAGTCGGTATCAAACCATGGAAGGGAAGTGTGGAACAACCAAGAGAATTATTTTAAAGTGTTGTGTTGCTTTTGTTTCTTCCCAAGTAGCTTTAAAATCTTGAGAAAATGAAAAATAAATGAAAAGTCTTTAGACAATTGTAACTTGAAATTCTGCAACAATGAAATGTTTTCCTAACTACAGGGCTTGATCATATTATATGGATGACATTTACCCTGATTCTGGATTTCAGACAAAAAAATCTGATATTCTGAATTAGGATATTCTGAAAATTTTTCTTTTTCTGTCCTTCCTTCCCTCCTTCCTTCTTTCCTTTCTTTTCTTTTTGCCATTTGACATATATCCCCCTATTTCTTTCAAAACATGAATCACAATCTAAATTCCTGTTCAATACATCTCACATTTGGTCAACACAAGCAAGCACATTTCAGAAATTTGAAACGATACCAATATCACCAAAAGAACTTAGAAAAGGAAATTATTATAAATATCTTCGAAATCAAATATGCTATATTTTCGGCTATAGAAACATTGTTATTTAATCCTTGAGGAAATATTTTCATTTAGCAATTAAGTGAAGAAAAGAGGATTCTCTGTTACCTGTAGGTTCCATAGCATTCTGAGTCATTACTAGATTTATAAACCGAGCCTGCCCTGAACCAAATCGCAAAGTCAGTCTCAATGTCTCTCCCTCTCTCCCCATCTCCCTCATCTCAGGACATCTTCCCTAGTCCTCTTCAGCTGTTCACTGGACCCTCTGCCTAGGACTCCTTACTTAGGTCTTCATTTTGGAAGTTTCCCCCGATTTTTGCTCAGGCATATCATTAATACTTACCATCCTTCCTAAGACAGCAGCTTCTACTGCATTTCTGGCCAGTGCTTTCAGAATAATACTTTAAGAACTGAGCTCCCAGCTTCTGAGACTCCTCAAGGTCAATTAGAAGACCTGGGAAGCGACGGATCCAGCAGTCTCTGTAAAAAATGGTGGGTGAGCAGAGACAGTCTGAGGTCCACCCCATGCTTAGGAGCAGTAGCACGTCTGCTGCCACCACTGCCGCATGCATTTCCCTGGGATGAAGACTCGGCAACAAGTCTGATTCCCAGACAGAAGCTAGAGCTGACCAGCAGGGTTTAGGACAGTTTCTGGAACTTCAGGGCTGTTGCTAAGAGAGAGCTTCCTTGGGACTCTTCTGGAGGGTCACCTTCTAGAAAAATGAGGCCGTTCTTTGACTGCATATTGATTTTTCTTTTGTTTCTTCCCAGTTGAGTCCCAGGTGAACATTTGACTTGCTGCTGTTAATTCTGAACACTTTCCAGGCCATTTCAATGCTCTGTCCCTTAGCCTCTTGAAGACGTGGATTCTCTCCTCTGCTTTTCTTCTTTCTCTGAAAGTGAATAGTCACAGACACCTTTTACTAAGTAAATATAAAGACAAGTGGAAATCCTAGCCAAGAGTCTTTCTGAGGAAAACAATAATCTAGTCACTTGACGTCAGATAAAGAAAGGATCTATTTCACCTGAAACAAGACAGCGTTTTGTGAGGGCAGTTCTGTATGGTTTTAAGGAACCTGTGACTGCAGATTTTTTTTTCAATCATCTCTTTTTCCTTTGAATTTAAGTTCTAGTATTTAGGTTCACCAGAAAACCAGTTTGTGCACTGGTTTAAATTTTTTGTCTTTGCTTAAAAAGTCTTGAAAGTAAATGAAAATTGAAAATGAAATAAAAATTTAAATTTTGCAGTGATTTTGAAAACATCGAATATGGATCCTGGTCACGTCTCAGGACCAGGCATTTTTGCAAAGACTAGCCATAAGGTTTCTTAAAAGAAGACTAAATATTCAGTCAAAAGAACATCCTCATAATGTAGATGGAATACAATATCCATTAAGGCATATATTGTTTAATCAAGAATAAAAAGTATACGGGGCTGCTCTGGTGGCGCAGCGGTTAAGTGCGTACGTTCCGCTTTGGTGGGCTGGAGTTTGCTGGTTCAGATCCCGGGTGTGGACATGGCACCGCTTGGCAAGCCATGCTGTAGTAGGCATCCCACATATACAGTAGAGGAAGATGGGCACGGATGTTAGCTCAGGGCTAGTCTTCCACAGCAAAAAGAGGAGGATTGGCAGCAGATGCTAGGGCTAATCTTCCTAAAAAAAAAAAAAAAAGGAATAAAAAGTATAAAGTGAAAATTGTGAAGAAGTTCAAACTGGGGGTTGTCTAATCTGTTTTCAGATATTCATGTTTGTGAGTTAGAAACAGAATTCTTTGTGAAGGGCATACATAAAGGCGCAGTATCTCTGATTGAAGCAGAAGTAGCTGCCACGAAAAGTGCACTGGGAAAATGGTGAGATGCCTTTAAATATCTAAATATTAATAAAATTACTTCCATTGCAACGCCAAAACATTTGAAAAGATATTAAAGGCAGTGAAAATGGCCTCTAACTTTTGTGAGGATTGTGTGTTCCATAGCTCATGATATCCAAGATGACAAATTAGTTCCAAGCATGAAACTGTTGCTTTTTTGTATCCATTTTTATACAAAGTATTAGTGGTAATCGGCTTTGGGCGTAAAGTGCTGTACTACTCCTTTTTTTATTTTTTTAAAGATGAAACTTTTACTGTCCTGTGATCTGTGTTTCTTTCAAATCTTTTTGCACAATGACTCATTCAATGACGACACAAAAACATTAACAGTCTTTGAACTTTCATCTCTCCACCTGTTTCCTAATAATAGCCTAATTATCACATATCTTTTGATTTTAGAAACATATATTAATAATATAAGTTATATTATTATAAATGTAATCATTGATAATAAAGAGAAAAATATTCAAAACACTGAATAACTTTAAAAACAAAACATTTCACTTTCTTCCAAGCAAAAATTGTTTTGTGGATTAATTCCTAACCTTGCATAAGCCACATAAAATACACTAAAAATGATAAATATTTGATTCTCATGCAATTCTTATAGAAGGCAAGTTTCAGTTACTTATGTACAGACAATCTGACTGTTCCATCTCTTCTGAAGGGAGAGGAAAGAGAAGTTTCCAAATGGCAAAGCAAGGGATAGGTGAGGAAGACAAAGTTCCTCTCTGTTTTTCCATGAGATACCATAGCTGTTTCGATTAGTTCATGCTCTGGGGACATAAACCGGAAAGTCTACTTTCTAACCCTCTAACCTCCACGTCTTTCAGTCACATTAAACGTAGTTTCTTTTGTGTGATATATAATTCCTTGAAGTTCTCATGTTCCCTGCAGGGCTCATGGAACAATCCACAACTGTTTCATCCTTTTGCTTCAAATGATGTTCAAGTGAAGATCAAAGTCGCATTTGCAAGAATCTACAAGGTCCAAGGTAAAAGCATGCTTTAGAATTTTAAAGCAAATGTTTTGGTGACTGCATAAACATCGAGTCTGGGAATGAGTAACTTCTTGGAGCCAAGTATTTTGAAAATGAGAGAGAGAAACTGGACTGCAGGGGCAGACGGCAGAATCCACAGCGGCCTGAGATACGTGGCCCAGAAGCGTCTAGTCTCAAAACTTGTCCATGTGAGATGAAATTGCAGAAATCAGAAAGCAACTGCAACTCTGAATAAAAAAATTGCTCTATGGCCTTTGCACCAATTTTATCAAATACCCAGAACCATGACACTATTGCAATGTGGTGATATATTGTACTTATTTCCAGTTGGACCCTCTTGAGAGGGGTTCAAAAATTAGATTCTAACCTTAAAAACCCCTTATCTTCCCCAAGAGCCTGAGTCAGTAGCTCTGGTGTGGAAACCAGAATTCTTACTTTTATAAGAAAGAGCCCAAGGTGATTTCCTAAGATGTTTGGAAAACATTGATCTAGATAACTGAAATAAATGGAAGTTTTGTCTACATGAAGGTGCTCAACCTGAATTAAATAGAGTCATTTTAAGATATTTTGGTTTTGCTTGTTAAAAAACAAAAAGAAGTAACGTTGTTGTAGGAATATTGCAGGGACTGAAAAAATAAACCCTTTCTAAGTGGTAGTGAAGTAATAGCACAGGTTTACTAAATTCAAAAAGCATTTGAAAACAGTCAATATTTCATCCTTATTTTAAAGACGCCAATTGTATTATATACTTAACATTTTCATTTCATCAATTGATAAAATTGCTGGAAATTGTTTTTAAAAACTGGGCCTGAGAAATATAAACATGTCATTAATTTTTCGTAAAATATTTTGCTTTTATTAAATCGATATACATTCACTTTAAAAAATCCAAGCCATATAGAAAAGTACAAAAAGAAATAAAAACTACTCAAGATCTTACAATCTTCATGTTTTGGTTAACACCCTTCTAGACATCTCTAAAAAACAGATACATGTAGACAATTTTACATAAATGGATTCATATTGTTCCAGAACCTGTTTTTTTAAAATCCAGTGTAAAATTATATTTTTCAGTCTCTCTAAAGAAAGTTGTCTCTACATCAAAAGTTGTAGTGGTTTTATGGTACTTCATTCTACGTAGGTACACAAATTTACCTGCACCTCAGCTTCCTCTGCTGTAAAAGAGCTTAACAACAGTATTGCAGTCCATGGAAAGCACTTACAACAGTGTCTCACAAATAATAAACATTCAATAAATATTTGCTACTATTATTATTATACATTATGTTTTTCAATTTTTTATTATTAAAGGCAACACTGTGATAAACATCTTGTACTTGGATTTTTTTTTCCATTCTTGGTCAAAAGGTATATTTTTCACAAATTCTTAAAGAAATAGCCTTTGTATTTGACTATTGATTTAATCTTTTGTAAAACAGATCATGATGTAAAGTGCTTGAAGTGAATCATAACTACCACAAAGGCCAGTCTTTATTATTCAATGATTAGTCAATAACAGAGCTATAAAAGTATGCCTCCAGTTATATACAAGCAATATTTTTATGATGCTTAGAAATACTATTTAGGTCTTTTGTAAACAAAGGAGTTTATATTGCTTTGACTTTGCATTTCTAGCATAACAGAAAGCTTATTGTGTGAGTTATTAAAATGATTTGATCTTTTAAGATGCTTCTAGTCCTAAATGATGTTATTATCCTGTTGGAACCAAAAGCTTACAAGATCAATGCCTGGTATTGTCAGACTAACACACCAGATGCCCTGTCCACGCTGATCTTGCTCTGATAATATTACTGTGTGTGAATTGCCTTACTAACGCACATCAGTCTTTAAACGTGATTTTTTTAATCTATTTTTAAAAGGTAAGAAAATACCAGTCTGAGGCATATCTGTGACAGATAGGAAACAAAAGCATCCCTTGGTGAAAGATTCTAAAGGGACCAAGGAGAGACTAAAGAGCCTGCTCTTCTTGGCTGACCCACTGAATCTGGCATTGTTGCTGATGGAGACATGAATGAATCCCAGCTCCAAGTCTCTTTGATACAGGGGCACCTCCCAGCACAACTTCCCCAGCTAAATGCCTAATAGTGAACCTGGCACTTTAGCTTCTCAAAGAGGTTGTACGTTCATGGTCACTCAACCCCAAAGAGCCTTAGAATGTCTGGGGGGCTGGCCCCGTGGCTGAGTGGTTAAGTTCACGTGCTCTGCTGCAGGCGGCCCAGTGTTTCGTTGGTTCGAATCCTGGGTGCGGACATGGCACTGCTCCTCAAACCACGCTGAGGCAGCATCCCACATGCCACAACTAGAAGGACCCACAACGAAGAATATACAACTATGTACCAGGGGCTTTGGGGAGAAAAGGGAAAAAAATAAAATAAAATCTTTTTTTTTTAAAAAAAGAACCTTAGAATGTCTTGACTGCATCCCCACTGAGAACAGAAGTGGGAGAGGTCCATGTGAGAATGGAGTTTTATCAGTAATGATTTAAAGGGCAGGTGAAACAAGTTGAAAAGCCAGAAGCTTTTCTCAAAATCCAAGAGAATAACTGAAAGAGGCAAGTCATAGATCTATCTTTATTTCCTTCACTTTTGCCAGGGAGGCCAGAATCTACTAGAATTTCTTCTATGTCTTTAAAATTTTAGTTCATTATTCATGGTGTATTATAAAGAAAATAATGAATGACATCACCTCACTATGAAACAGCTAAGTTACATAGAAAGAAGCACAAATATGACTGAACAATGTTTTGAAAGGATTTCCTGGTTTAGTGATAATGACTTTCTCTGATTTTTAACCTTTGCCTCTTCCTAACATAAAATGTTATTCAACCTTGTAGGAAGTACCTTCCGTTTGAATTGGGGGAAATGTATTTATGAAGACGGTATTAACAATTTGTCATTCAAAAAGACAGCTGAAGCTTGTAATGATAAAAACAAAGTCCAAACACATATACTCCCCAAGTGAGGTCTACTACGGTTGGTTCTCGAATCTTGATCTGCGAAAGTTTTCAAGGGTTTTGGTAAGAGTGAACACACCCTCTGCTCCCCCCCAATCCTATTCCTCCTTCCACTCAAAGGTAACCTAAAAATACCCGCCCCACTCCCTTTTCTAGGATTATTTCATATCTCATGAGCAACACACGGTCCTTCGTATTATTTGGGATGAGCCTTCTACTTCAATGTTCAGTGAGAGAAGATGGGGAAGAAGTGGTTTTTCCTCAAGGAGTCCTCAGACGGCGGGGGGCGTGGGAGGTGAAGGGGGGAGGAGAAGGGTTAGAGGGTGGCAAGGAAGGCCACCTCTATAGGCAGATGTGAGCAAAAGCGGCCAAACCTTCTGCCCCAAAATAACATTCCGTATTGGCTAGCCCAAACTGAAATGGGGAAGGCAATGGCTGTTAGAAAATATTTATAAGAGGCACGTGATCTAACTGTATTTCGTTGAGTTGTACTTCTGTCTTTCTTTTAATAGCCTAAGGAGGACGACGGGCCCCAACAGCAAATAGCAGCTCCCGTGCCTCCCAACGCTTTCCCTCGGGTGCACGCCGTGCGCTGAGCCCTGCAGAACCCGCTGTCATCTGGCTGGACCTTCTTTCTGCAAGATGGCTCCTATACCATGACCATTCCGAAGAACCAACTCTACGTGCCACTTACACGTCCGGAGACGGCCAGTGTGGCTTAGCCCCCTGGGACACGACACCGGACTGGGCCGGACCGGCCATCCCAGATGTGATGTCTTTTTGACTCCCTGGACCCCAGACTCCCTTCATCCCTTTCCTCCCACGCCCGTTTCTCTTTTTTGCTCCCTCCCTTGAAAGGCAGCGTGGAGGAAAAAACAGACTGGCTTCCTCTCGCCTCCTGTCCCCCGCGATCATCGCGGCAGCCCCTGGTAGGCTGAGAGCCGGGGCGCCCGCGGCCCGCCGCCTCCCCGCCTCCTCGAGCGCCGGATCCGGGCGGCAGGTCGGGCGGCCTCAGGGGTCCTGCGGGCGGAAGTGAGAAGCGCGGTGGGAGGAGGCTGCAGGCTGGGGCTGGATCCCCTTCGCGGCAGTCGCGGCCCGGAGATCCCGGGCGGGGCGAGCGGCCGCCTCCCGACGCCCGCGCGCGCCCGGGCCTTTTTTGGCGCAGACGGAGAGCCGCGGGGCAGGGCCGCCCCCCCGGGCCCGGGAGGAGGGGCTGCCTCGGGGGCGCCAGCACGACCCAGATCGGCCGGGCGGGCGCGGGCGCGGGCGGCCCTCCGCCTCCCTCCTCCTGCTGCCGGCGCCATCCCTCGGCGCGCCCAACCCGGAACCCGGCGAGCGCGCGGGGGCGGGGAGGCGAGCGCGCGGAGCTGCCGGGCACCCCCGGGCCCCCCAGCCATGTCGGCCGAGGAGATGGTGCAGATCCGCCTGGAGGACCGCTGCTACCCGGTGAGCAAAAGGAAGCTCATCGAGCAGAGCGACTACTTCCGTGCGCTCTACCGCTCCGGCATGCGCGAGGCCCTGAGCCCGGAGGCCGGCGGCCCCGAGGTGCAGCAGCTGCGCGGCCTCAGCGCCCCGGGCCTGCGCCTGGTGCTGGACTTCATCAACGCCGGCGGGGCCCGCGAAGGCTGGCTCCTGGGCCCGCGGGGGGACCAAGGCGGCGGGGTGGAGGAGGAGGAGGAGATGGACGAGGTGAGCCTGCTTTCCGAGCTGGTGGAAGCGGCCTCCTTCCTGCAGGTCACCTCCCTGCTGCAGCTGCTGCTGTCCCAGGTGCGGCTCACCAACTGCCTGGAGCTGTACCGCCTGGCGCAGGTGTACGGGCTGCCCGACCTGCAGGAGGCCTGCCTGCGCTTCATGGTCGTCCACTTCCACGAGGTGCTGTGCAAGCCCCAGTTCCACCTCCTGGGGGCTTCTCCCCAAGCTCCGGGGGATGTCAGCCTGAAGCAGAGGCTGAGAGAGGCCCGGATGACCGGGACTCCTGTCCTTGTGGCCCTGGGAGATTTCTTGGGGGGACCCTTGGCCCCTCACCCCTACCAGGGGGAGCCCCCGTCCATGCTTAGGTATGAGGAGATGACTGAACGTTGGTTCCCGCTGGCCAACAACCTTCCTCCCGACCTGGTCAATGTCAGGGGTTACGGGTCCGCCATCCTGGACAACTACCTCTTCATAGTGGGCGGGTACAGGATCACTAGCCAGGAGATCTCCGCTGCGCATTCCTACAACCCCAGTACCAATGAGTGGCTCCAGGTGGCCTCCATGAACCAGAAGAGGTAAGCCCGCAGCAGAGCGCTGGTTCTTTCTCATTCATTCAGTTGTTCATTAACTCATTGCCGTAATGTTTACTGAGCAATCGCAGGAGGTTGTGCTGAGGTGGGAGTGACGTCTTCAGGAGTGTTGCTGGCCTCACTCTGGCAAAGTTCCCAATGAACTAAGAACTTGCAAGGAAGAAGAGGCCCCAGCGAGGTCAACTAGCTGAGTAATTTCCTTGCAGGTATCATACACGCCATCAGGCAAACTGCTTTCTTTGCCTCTATCCCAGTGGAAAAAAAGATGTGATTTCCTAGAAGGATACTTCAAAGCAAAATTAAAGGACAGTTTTCTTTTTATTTTTACCTTTTTTATTTTTTAGGGCCTGATCCTGATAATAATGACACACTGGGCAGTAACCTGTAACACTGACTTTGGGGGATTTTTTATTGTTAATGACTTTGAAGGCTTCCACGCTGGGGCACCAATCTGTCGTCAGCAGATAATCATTAGAATTGTATTGATATTAGCTATATAGGATTTCCTTTCTTATTTTTTATCCTCTCTTTTGCATCTCCCTTCCTTCCAAGACAATCATCCTCATTGACCCAAAGCTTGAGCCTGGCAGTGGTCACTGACAGAAATAGACTATTTCCACACACCCCAACCTTCCTTCTTCCCATCCTGCAGATCCCGTCCAACATGAACTTGGATGACTTGAAGGAAAGAAAAGAAAAGGAGGAGTTGGGGGCTGGGGTGGGGAGTAGGGAAAGGAGCCAGGAAAGGAATAGGAAAACAAGAGCAACGAGCAGATACAGGAAGAGATGGTAGGAGATAAAGATGGTAGGGCCCAAGATGGCCCAGAGCTATTCACAAGTGGGGAGAAGAATCAATGAAACCCAAAAAAGGACAAGAATACCCTTTCTTCTGGTCCACCTGTATCCATCTCAAGCCACACTGTGCTCTTGTCCTGAACTGTGGAGCAAGGAGCTGGGGTACTCAGCGCCGCACAAAGAAAGTCTGCACAGGAGCGGAGAGGCCATTACACATATTTACTTGAGTTGAGGGGCCCCCTGGGCTGGGGGTGGGGGGGACACTGGCTTCACGTCTACTAAAATATAAAATTCATTTTGGAAAGTGTTCTTTTTTTTTTTGATGATTAAAAATAGTACATAGTTATTCGAGAAGACTGGAAAAATGGAAAATGAAGAAGCAGAAAGACTATGAATCCTCCTTCCTCCTTCCTAGTGGCAATAACCACCTCCAAGTTGGCGTATTTTCATCCAACCCCTTTTGAGTGCATTACTTATACCGTTGAGATGAGACCGTATTTAAATTTTGATGTCAGAAGTGTTATTTTTAAATAAATTCTAGGACCTTTAATGGAAGCAACGAAGAAACATTCAACGGTTATTGGCAGCGCTCAGATAAGGCGTGAAGGCCCAGCAGGTCGTCTCTCACCTCCTCACAAATCTCCAGCTGTATCAATTGGTGCTCAACATGCCACCTCTAGCTCCACAACTCTACTCGCAGAATTCTTTTCTTTCTTCACAAATCCTTGGTAGTCTTTTCTTTTTTCTAGGAATGCCCTTTCTGTCCTCTTTGAAAAAAAAAAAACAATTGAGTAATACATGCTTAGAAAAATTGCAAATGACATGAAACTATAGAGTAAAAAATGTCTATATAGCCATACTTACGTATTACAAATTTATAAATACCTATTTATATTTATAAATTATAAATGTATTTTCATATAAATATAAGTGTCAGTAGTGGTTAACAGGGAAAAATGTATATATGTATGCATGTGCATGTGGGGGTACACATGTGTGGGGGTACGTGTACAACTTTTGCATATTTTTTACTCAAATTGATTAGGTTATGCTGATTATTATGGCACTTGATATTTCCACTTAATAGTATACTGTATCTGAGAGTTTTTTTCTATATCAAATGTAGATTTCTATATACAAATGTAGACCAACTCACTCTTGTTAATGGCTGTGTAGTATTCCAGCCTGTGGATGTACCATAATGTAATTAGCTGTTCTCTTATTCGTGCGTATTTGGATCACTTCCATTTGCCATTATAAACACTGCTGTATTGAACACCTTGGTATATGTGTGCATATCTTACTAGGCATATGTGAGTTCTTTCTATATGGCAGATTCCTAGAATCCCTGGATAGGTGGGGCCAAGTGTAGGTACATTTAAAATTTGGGTGTCTCCTGCCAAATTGCTTGTCAAAAACTTGTTCTAATTTCCTCTCCCATCAACAGTGTTTGAGCTTGCCACTTCCCTATACTCTTGCGAAGATAAGATATTATGATCATTTTTTATTTTTACCGACCTAATGGGCAAAAACACTGGTGTGAATGTCTCTGATCGGAAGAGAGTTTGTTCTTTTCGTGTGTTTATAGGCCGTTTGTATCTCTTTTGTAAATGGCCTTTGCTGAGTTTTAAAAAAATGGATTGTTTATCTTTTTCATATCCATGATAGAAGTTCTGTTTATGTATATAGATGTTAATCTCTTGTCTGTTAGATGATGTTGTACATGTTTCCCCTGCCTTTACTTTATCATAAGGTTCAAAAATGAAATACCCAGAGCGACCAGGCAAGTCAAGTCAAAGAGTAGAGGGGTGGGTGGTGTTCAGGTGAACCAGAGAGCTACTGGCCCACCGCAAGAGGGCTCCACCGCTCAGCCTCAGCTGGTTATTGCCTAGGGGGAGTAAGGAATGGTGATGCCAGACATCCAGCTATCCCGATTTTTAAATGTTGGTCACTTTGTTCACTTTAAAAACAAACAATCAACAACAACAAAAACCCTGTAGACCCAACAAAGTGCAGCCCAGCACTGGCCTTGGCAACCTCCAGTTTTGAACTTCAGGTGTATAGTGTATTCTTGTAGGAAGAAATTTTGAATTTTTGGTAGTCACATTTGTCACGTGTCCTTTGAACTTTTTATCTTGCGTAGGAAAGACTTCTACAGAAGTCTTTCTAAGAACTTATAACTACTCATCTGTCGTATGCTCCCTTACTTTTATAGTTTTGCCTTTTTACATTTACATCTAAATCTATTTGAGATTTATTTTCATATAAGGTATATTGTAAGGTTGTAACATATTTTTTGTTGTTGTTTTATTATTTTTTTTTTGGTGAGGAAGATTGGCCCTGAGCTAACATCTGTTGCCAATCCTCCTCTTTTTGCTTGAGGAGGATTGTCACTGAGCTAACGTCTGTGCCAATCTTCCTCCATTTTGTATGTGGGATGCCGCCACAGTGTGGTTTGACAAGTGGTATGTAGGTCTGCACCCAGGATCCAAACCTGTCAACCCTGGGCTGCCAAAGCAGAGCGTGTGAACTCAACCACTATGCCACCAGCCGGTCTCTATAAGATGATTTCTAAAGGTCCCAATAGCCTTCTCACCGTGATTTGCAAAACCAATTATCATATGCTAGTTTTCCTGTTTCCAAATTGGCAGATTGGCCATTCCTGCACCAATAACATTTTTTTTCCTGATTAAAATCCTTTAATAGTTCCATCCACACCCCACTATGGCTAAACCAAATTACTTGCAGTTTCTGGAAAGCATCCAGTTATTCTGTGCCTTTGTGGTTTCCTATAGACTATTGTATGACCCTAGAATGTTCTTCTTACAAGTCTCCACAAAGCCTATTCCTAATCGTCTTTCTCGAATGTGCTTAAATGTAAATTGCGTTAGCAGTCCTTCTCTGACGTTTTAGTCTGTTTAGACATCTCTCTCGTAGACCAGGACCACAGACCACCATCTCTGCATTTTTTCTGCTTCCTTTTCTGTTTCCATCCTTAGTCACGATTCCTTGAGGGCAAAGGACATCCCTCTCATTTCTCTATCACCAGCACCCACTTAACATAAAAATTACTTAAATATAATAAAATACATAGGGAAAGAGCTGGCCTAGGAGGCTTAAAGGTCAAGCGTCAGGTCTCAGGAGCTTTGAAGAGTGGCTGCAATCACTGACCAAAGAATGAATCTCACTGACATCCAGCGTGGTTTGCCTGTTGGACATGGCCTAGGCTTTTGGGCATATCCCTTAAGCAACACAAAGACCTAAATGTCCAAAACTGAACTCCTACCTTATCCGTTTTCCAGTAAATCTGTGTTTGCAGTCCCTGTCCATGTATCCTCATCCTTCCAGTCACCCAGACTTAGAATCACAATCTTCCGACTACTTCCTTTCCTAATACATCAGTCTCTAAGTCCTACTGACTTGATCTCCTCAGTGTATTTTTATCCTCTCTCCTCCTTCCCCCCATTACCTGCCCTGGACTGGAAGGATGATCAATCTAGGCTGAAGAACCTCTTCTGGTTTGGATGGGTGTTTGGTAGGGCCCTGTCACTGAGAAGGCCACGCATATATCCTGGCATTCTCCAGCCTCTAGGTTCCTTAACATCAGCTCTGGCTCTTGCATCCCTCTGGGTATGGTTGTTGGCTGGGCTCCCTGGGAGAGCAGGCCCTGGATCCGTCAGCTTGGCCAGGGGGCCTTGCTCAGCAGCTCCGAGGCCAGCAGGTGGCATCTCACTGGACTGGGGGCCCTGACAGACCTGGGTGGACCAGGGCTCTGGGTCAAGTAGGTCCATGCCTGGCCCCAATGGCATGGATGGTAGGCTATGGCTGCAGCGAGTGCCCTTATCCAGTGGGCCCACCCTATCTTGCTGGGTTTCTTGCATGGGTGAGAAATCCTGGGAGGAGTCTCCAATGCTCACTCGAAGTGGTGCGGAGCCGGAGCCTGCAGATTTCTTTCAGTCCGTGGCGAGCTTAGCAAAGGAGGTGACCCGCCTGGGTGGGGAGCTAGGCCTGGCCAGGGCTGCAGGGGCCTCACTCAGGCACACTGGGCAACTCAACATACGTTCCAGTGAGCCCAGGCGAACAGGAGGGCTTCGCTCCAGGCTGCGATCATGCCTTTGAGAGCGCTGACGTCCAGTGCTAAGTTTGGGGGGTGAAGTATTGATGTACACTTGCCCCTCGATCACAGCAGGGCCCATGGGAGCTGCCACTTCCTTTGAGGAAACCCTTGCTTCTTGTTCCTCTGGCTGGACTTCTGGCTTCTGGAATACGTACTACTCAGAGGGCTGGCTAGGACCGGGTCTGGGCCAGGGCCTGGTATAGGACTTGGTGTGTTCCTCAGAGCAGCTAGTAATGGAAGAGCCAGCTGGGCTTGGGGGTTATTGGGAGGACAGGTCCCAGGTGACAAGTTTATAGTAATTCTCTGTGGCTGCAACAGGACGGGCCTGGCTCTGGAAGCAGGCTGTGAGGTCAGCCACAGCTGGGCAGAGCTCACAGTGTGGGCGGTAGGAGTTGCAGTTGGCATCAAGCTCAGGAGATGAGGCATGAGGACCACCATAGCCTCCTTCCCTTCCTCCATTGTCAGGGTGGTGGGACTCCTCAGCAGGGGAGCTTTGCAGGTCCAGGTAGAAGATGCCAGGGTCTGAATGGCTGCAGAAGGAAAAGCCGCTGCAAGATCGTGGGGCTGAGTTGAGATTGGCACGGGAGTTGCCATGCATCTTGCAGAGGGTGCTGAAAGTGACCAGCACATCATCCGAGCTGTTGCAGGAGGAGTCACTCACACAGCCCAGGGATGGGTCATCCGCCTTGGGCTGACTGGATGTGCTACTGCAGTGGCAGTGCTGGGGTCCTGAGCCTGTGCATCTGGGGTTCCCTGGGGATTCATCTGAACTGAGCTTCCATTCCTGGTCAAAGGAAAAGCCAGATTTATCACTGGCTCCACCCTCACTGCCGCTCCCACCAGGTCCCCCACACTCATCCAGCTCCATGGTCTCTGCTCCCAGCTCCGGCCGGCAGTGGTAGCTAGTGCTGCACTCCTGGGTATCCAAGGTGGTTACTGGCTCCTGTTCCTGCCCCTCCACCACTCCAACCCGACTACGTCTTGTCCTCCATGGCCTGCCCACTCTGGGGCCAGGTGGTGGCAGCTGGAAAGACGATAGCTGGAAGGTGGGCTGGCCAGCCCCATGCAGGTGGAAGGACTGCTGGGTGGCACTATCACCAATGCTGTCCTCATATAGGTCACCAAGTCTTGGCTCAGCCACACCCTCCCGCAGCAAGAAGGGACTGTGTCGTGTGGGGGCTCCAGGGCCTCTTCCATCCCGACCCCTACTCTGGGTGCTGTCTGCAGACCGTGCAGAGCCCCCTGGAGGAGAGTGCAGACTGTTGCAGAGCAGGGAGTCAGCTTGTCCTCGGTCTTGAGCAGGCTGGGTGATGCCCAGCTCTGGTGGGCAGAATGGAGTGGGTCTTGTGCTCCCACTCCCTCCACAGCACTGCCTGTCTGGGACTTGACGGTGCACCAGGGGGATGTGGTGGACAATGAGGGTCTCCACAGGCAGCTTTGGGGGACTATCCATTCTGGAAAGTTCAAACAAGGGCATTAACAGCACCAGCCACTGGCCCCAGAGCCCAGTGGGGCAGAACGCGTTTCCTCAGGAAAGCTTGGCACCTCGATCCCCCCCTCAGCGTGGTCCTTGGTTGGTAACGCCCGGCCTCCCTGCAGCTGTGGGCGCGGATGGTCCGCCCACGGGCTGCCCTCTGGCCGGCCCTCAGAATGGCTGGCGGTGGACCGGTGCCTCGCCCACCATCCTGCTCCCGCGGTGCTGGGCGCTTCCGCGAGGGGAGCCAATAACACATTTTTACATTGTAAGCTGGTAATCTATTTAATTTACTGTCTAGTAGAATAGAGACCCCTTTGTTCTCTTTTAATTCTCGGCTATTTTTTGTATATTTTCTTCTTCAGATCAACGTTAGAATCAGCTTGTCACGTCCTGTTGGAATTTTGATTAGGATTGCACTGTATTTATAGATTAATTTGGAGGAGGAGTCACAGTCTTATAGCACTTTACAGCTAGAAAAATGGTTTGTTTTTCCATGTATTTATCAACATCTTTTGTTCCTTCAGGAAAGGTTTCTTTTATTATCTTTGCATACTCTGTAAATTTTTTGTTAGGATTCGTCTTTGTCTTCTTCTTTTTGAGGAAGATTGGCCCTGAGCTAACATCCGTACCCATCTTCCTCTATTTTGTATGTGGGATGCTGCCACAGCATGGCTTGATAAGCAGTGTGTAGGTCCGAGCCCAGGATCCAAACTGGCAAACCCTGGGCCTTCAAAGTGGAGCTGGTGACTTTAACCACTATGCCAGTGGCGTGACCCCAAGGATTATTCTTAAGTATTTTCTAGTTATTTTTTTTTTCCTATGTGCATACTTTTTCCATTATATTTTCTAATTGGCTATTGATGCCATATTGGACTTTTTTACCCTTCTTTATGTCCCTCATGCCTTGACTCAGTTCTGACATATCTCAGGAGTCCCTTCCTGAGCCCTCCATTGGGCTAAATGTTCAAACTCTCTGCTCCTCTAGCACACTCCCTGCCTTGACTGAAATTTTCTGTTTGTATTTGTCTCTTTCCCTTCCAGTCTGGGCCAATTACTTATTCAATACTTATGTATATTTCTACTGCTAACATGGTGTCCAGTAAAGAGTAGATGCTTAAAATGCTTGGTTTTTTTTGAATTATGGAATGCATTTTTACATTATCATAATAAAAGTGAATGTATAATTTTATATTCTTTTAAAATGTGACATTATAGTGAACATTTTTATCTTGTAACAGTCATTATACTTATTTAGAATAGCTGAAAAAGATTACTAGATAACATTTATTTGAGCATTTATTCTGTATGAGGTGCTGTTCCTACTGCTTCGCATGCATTATCTTACTTATTCTTCACAAGGACTATGTTAGGCAGGTTCCCATTTTACAGAGGCAGAAACCGAGGCACAGAAAGTTAAGTACATTGCTCAAGGTGTATATTAAGTAGAGTAACCAAAATGTGAATATCTGTTGAATAGCTATGACCAGTTAGAGTGTTTATAAGTTTTGGCGTATAGACTGGCAGTGGCCATCTTCATGTAGACTTAAAAATTTTCCTTTTAAAAAGGATTTTCTTCTAAGAAATGGAGCACAGATATTTTGTGGTACTGTGCTACTTTTCAAAAATGTCATCACGTGTGCCTCAGCTTCCCCACAGCCCTTATGGCCAGCATTTTTCTAGTCCCTATTGTAAATAACAAAGATGACATGGTTCCTGCCCTCGAGGAGATTATGACTGAGATGATGATTGAGTTTATAATTTAGATGATGAGACAAGTAAAAAATGAAACCTACAGTAGGATTCTTCTGGATAATACACCCAACACAGGTTCCGGAAACACTGGAGGCAACTTAGAGCCTTGGGTAAAAAGGGCAGGTTTCAGCTTTAGTTACACAGCATTTCACACCTACCTTTGTGATGTGTTCAGACTGTTTTACTTTGACAAAAGGGTCAAATGCAGAACAGCGCACTTCCCCCAGGGACTGCACACTGTGATGATCTCAGAATCTTAAACAACAAGGGGCAGGCAGGAGCCCTAGAATTGGGAGATTTTATAAAGCCCTCTGCCCTCTGGAGAAAATGATGCTATATGACCAGTAGCGGACAGACAATGAAATGTTTGGTGCTCTGCCTATATACTTGAAAATGGCAGTGTGAGTACCCAGCACCCTCTGAGAAGATGCTTTGAAGTCCAGGTACGCAATGCTGTCTGGTGGTCTGAGTGTGAATTTCATCTGAGGAGTTATTGGGACATGACTCTTCACATGTGAAAGCTGGTGTGTCCACAAAATTGCTTGCTTTCCCTTCTCACTTTAATTAGGGCTAACCCGCAGGAACTGGCCACTGGTGCAGCAATCTGTTCGTTAATTTCTCTGTTTCTAAAGTTGTCTCTAATCTCTTCCATGGCCCTGCACTTTTGCTCTGCAATTGGAGTTGGCGTGTGTCCTCCTGTTGGGTGAGTGGATACGGCAAGGTTGGAGAGAGATGTAGCAAACACCGGTCCTCTGGCACAGATGGAATTACAGTGGTCACCCTTAGTTGTCCCTTTCCTCTGAGCCAACATTTAGTATTTTAGAGCATTTCTAGAGTCATAGAAACTTCGAGAGATTTTGTCCTGTACAGCTAATGTTGCGGTGGAGCCCAAGAATGGTGTGAAGGAAAGAAAACTGTGTCTGTTCATGCCACGACTACCTCCTGCACATGGTCACTTTGGCCGACAGTTTAAATTGCTTTGTGCACTCGGGTTTCTCAGAGATGGTAGTAGGTAGCAACCATGACCACCTCTGTGTCCTGACCTTTGCTCTTTCTGCTTCCTGGCACCAGGGGAGGTTCATATGTAGGGAAGTGGTAGAAGGTAGGCAGCAGCAGGGAAAAGTAGAGACAAAGGGCCTGGATGGTCCACAGACATCCTCTTCTGAGTGGTTGAGAAGGGACTAGAGAAAGGATCCTGCCATTTCACTCTAAGTTTTACTCTAACGGTCACAACTTTCTATGTAGCAATGGTTTACATTTCTTGGGCTCTTATTCTGGCCAGCTTATTGTAGTCATTACTGTAGATGTCACTTCGTATTTCATGCTCACATCATCTCTGTGAGATAGGCATTATTATTGGCCCCATTTTCCCAAAGGGGAAACTGAGGCTCAGTGAGTTTAGTTAACCTGCACATAGTCACAAGGCCAGCACGCTAGGCCCCTCAGACCTCTATGTCATCCTGCCTCCCTCCAGTTGTATATTGCTATTGTCAGTCACTGATGTCTGTGTCCTGGTGTTCAGCATGTCTCATGTTACATAGCTTTTAAGGATCTAAAGAGCTTTTCGTATTTTCTAAGTGAAATAGAAATTAAATCGTCATCTAATTTTTCTCACTTTCATGTCTCTTTACTGTAAGTCAGTTCAGTACACAGCTACAACAAATTATTTGGTTTAAAAATACTTCTTTTTGCCTCCTGACTGTAGTATGTTGGGGATCCATGTTAAGAAAACACTGTAGAGATGATAATTTTTTAAAATAACTGATAGCTTAGATTCATACCATTACCATTCAGGAGGTGAAGAGTGGAAGAGTTATTTTCAGAAAGTTGGAAATGAGGAGCTAAGTGGTGGGCACTTGTGGATGAGAGAGCACTTTGTATGGAACGCAGAGTACCTTACAGCCAGTGACTGTTACAGTGGACAAATGAGAAGCCAGCCCTCCTGAAGTTAAGAAACTTGGGCTAATGACATGCAGAAAAGCATTCCCCCTAGTGACCTCTTTCTGCCAGTGTTATCCTTTTTAACTCTTACTGTGTGTGATATTGGGCTCTTCTTATCCCCACTTCACAGATGGGGAAACTGAGACTCACATAACCTGAGATTCAGTGACTTGTCCAAGGTTACATAGCTGTTGAGTCATGGAGTGGAGACTTCTCTATACAGCCTGGGCTCATGGTCCTTAGCGGTTTGCCTCTCCATTGAGTAGTCTGTCGTTGGGTGGCAATCCCATCATAAAACAAATTCAGTACTGGAAAGTGTTTCTCTTCTCTTCAAGTGAATTTGGGGTCTGGAGAGACAGAATTGTTTACTTTTAACTGCTATTTATTAGCCTCAAAAAGAAGACCCGTACATGTTTGCGTAAGACAAATGATTATGCTGGATGAATATTAAAAACTGTTTTGATCTTACAAAATTTATTATCTCTGTACCTTTGCAGAGCAAAAACAAATTGTGGGCTAGTAAAATTTAGCGCTTATTTACAAGTTTTATTTCCTTTGGTTCCCCCAAATTTGCACACATAGAGAGAGCATCCTGGTCAGATTTTAAGGACCATTGGCAGCAGGAAAGGTAAGCAACATGAACCAGGGACCCCCCAGGAACTGCCACCCCGGTGAAGACTGTTGGCATGAAAAATTGGCTGGCTGGCTGGTTTTAATGGACAATACAATGTTCTTGATGAAGAATGCTCTATTCACTCTTTGAAAAACAAAACGAAACTGAACTAAAACTCATTTAAATATAAACATTACAGGCGCCTTTAAAAAGTCCTATTTTTTTAGTAGGTGGCTATTACTAACATCTGTTCTGGGTCATAAGGCATCAGTGTTTATTGAACACCTGTGAGGATGTCAGGTGTGGATGACATGTTCACTGCTGCTGCTCAGTCTACCCTCTTACATACTTTTTTCATTTGTACCTTCTTTCCCCATTCTTTCATAGGATATTGTTATTTTTGAAGAAATCATTGTGTTGGAGTTAGACGTGGCCTCTAAATTCACCTGGTCTAGCCTCTTTATTTCAAACACTATAAAACTGAGACCCTATAATGATAGTGTCTTATCTCCGTGTAGTACTTTCTGATAAACTCTGCTCTAATTTTCTCGACCATCCTGTGATGGGAATTGTCCCTCTACTAGAGATGAGGAGGTGAAGTGGTTGGGCCAGGTCAGCTAGCTGGTTATCAGCAGAGGTGGGACTAGAACCCGGGGTCTCCTGATTTGTGCCCCGGGTCTTTCTGTTGCATCGTGCTGCTGCTCATTCTATTGTAAACTTGAGACTGTTGGACATATCACAGGAGGCTGCCCAGCACTCCAAGTGTTTATCCTTCCTGGCCTTCGATTAATACCCGTGTGCTACATTGTTACAAGTTAATGTTTTTCTTTTCCATTCAAAAGTCATGAGACTTTTATTCTCGTGTCTGAGGCCGAGGAGCAGTGTTTAATTGTATTACTGAATATGGGGCTTAAAATCAGTGTATTTCTCTTTTTTAAATTTTATTTACTATTATGATAGGTGAGCATTTGTTGATATGAGTATTTGTTGAAGTTAACATGTGTAAATACCCAAAGAATGCTGGATCAAAACATTTTTAATTAGTTCAGTGCCTACTTCCCCCACCTCATGTGTTGTGAAGCAATATACAAGATGCCCTTACATGGAGGAGGGAGAGCGGGTGATGTGCTTGGGTGCACTCATAGTGAAGCAGTCTCTGAACCAGCCTTTAGCAGCCACCCTTCGCATGTGCCTGTCTGTGTAGGCAGTGCTCGTGTGCACCTAAGATGGAGCTACCCACTGGGCAGAAAGAGTGAGAAACATTCTCAGTAGAGAGAGATAAGGGAGTGAGGTGGGCATGTTTCTCCTTTACCACTTGTTCCTGCTCCTAAAAGAGGTGTTGAGTTTAGTGTATACAAAATGTCTTTGGTTCTTGGCATGAGGCTGAGCCAGATTAGTCCTTGTTATATTGAATTGCTTATCTTCAATTGCTAAAGTTTGGAGAATGCACCATTTTTGTGGATTCTTGGGGATAAGAATGAAATTTGAGATGCCATTGGGTCATTGCTCTATCCCCTGGCAAAATGGCGCCCAACTTGGAGAGCTCATTTTCTTCAAATATCCAGCAGATTCCACACTCTGCTTAAGCAGTTCATGCCCTTGTCTTACTTTTTAGTGATCAAAAGAACTGACTTTGTGGCCCTTTGTGTCTCTCTTTCAGGTCTAACTTCAAACTTGTGGCTGTTAATTCAAAACTCTATGCCATTGGTGGGCAGGCCGTTTCTAATGTTGAGTGTTACAATCCTGAGCAGGATGCATGGAATTTTGTGGCACCCTTACCAAATCCTCTGGCTGAGTTCTCTGCGTGTGAGTGTAAGGGGAAAATTTATGTCATTGGAGGATATACTACGAGAGGTAAGTGAAGGGGCCAAGTAAGTGGTCCTCTTATATGTAAGCTTCTGCAGCCCGGGGAGGGGCAGGAGGGTACCAGAGGAGACATTCCAGTGTGCACAAGTGCAATGATTTTATGCATTCATACTGTATATTTACATATTGGAAGGAAAAGAGTCCTGTAAGACAGGGGTGGCTTGGACAGGAGGGACCTTTGTTGCCTTTGTGTGAGCATGAAGCTTGAATGGAGTAGGGGGAGCTGTGAAGAGAATATGTATTTTCTTTCTGCTCTGAAACCCAGCCTTGTGCTCTGCCATCTTGTGACTTGGCTGGGTGACTGCCATCCTTCTCCCAAACATACACCAGATCTGCCTCCGTGTAACATTGTGGAATTTAGTGCCAGTGCATCCTTTCGGATCATTGTTTTCCTTTTCCCCCTTCTTGAGCACAAACATATCAGATATAAATTCCAGAAACTGAGCTCTAGGCTTTATTCACATATCATAGGAGGATCAAGAACATGAATATGAAAGAATTCTTTCCTGACCAGTGGTGGAAGGTGGTTGTGTTATTTATTAAACTATCTGTATGTGTTTTTTCCTTTTTTGGTAGGCATTTTATAGTTAATAGTTTGGAAATAAAAAGTTTCTCCCGCGGGCTTTATGCTGCTGTTGGTGGTAGGAAGCCTCTCACATGATAGTGATGGAAAACAGCTTGGTTGTGGTCAGAAAGGCATGGGGGACCACCCAGAAGAGGTGTGATTTTCCTGTTATCTCTTCCCTCATTCAAAGCAGTTGTTTCCAAGTTGTCTCTTGGCCAAGGAAATTTGTTTCTTCCTTTGGTCTATCTGACTGGATAATGCCCAGAACTTATAGAAAAGGTGTAACTGGCCTCAGGACTTTTAGCCATATTGTGGTGGTAGAGTTACCGTTATATCTGACATAGGGAAAGAACCCGTCACTCCTCTCGGGTACAGTGTGGGCAGGACAGAGCTCTCCAGCCCTGGCTGATAGTAGACATGGAAAAATGATGCTGACGGCCGCATTAGGCTGCATGCGACCGTATGTAACTTTGCAAAGAACAGAAATCCACATACTAATATACTGTGGGTGCTCAAAAAATTTTTCCACCACAACCAAATGTGTCTTGTTTTGGGGATTTATGTTAGAGGAAGAAGTTAAGTGTAAAATGTTTCATGAGCATCTAATTTACTTTTTTGTGTGTGTGACAGCAAAAGATTTTGATGAACACTTCTTGGAGTCCCTCTAAAAGTTGATTTGGTGGGAAGGATGGTGGGCAGTGTTTTAGTTTCCTGTGGCCAATTTAATAAATGACCACAAACTTAGTGGCCTAAAACAAGAGAAATGTATTCTCTCACAGTTCTGGAGACCAGAAGTCCGAAATCTAGGCGTCGACAGGGCTGTGCTCCCTCTGGAGGCTGGAGGCGGGAATCCTTCCTCTTCCAGCTCTGGTGGCTCCGGGTGTTCTTTAGCTAGTGGCTGCATAACTCCAGAATCTATGCCTCCACTTCACCTGCCTTCTCCTCTGTGTATCCTTGTCTTTTCCTCTTCTCTCTCTTTTAAGGACACACGTCTCGTTGGATTTAGAGCCTACCTGGGTAATCCAGGATGATCTCATCGTGAGATGCTTGGCTTAATTACATCTGTAAAGACCCTTGTTCCAAATAAGGTCACATTCGAAGGTTCTGAGGTTTAGGAGGTGGGCGTATCTTTTGGGGGTGTGGTATGCTTGATTATGCATTTAAGGAGAGGCGGTGACCAAGAGGAGTGCCTGCGAAGCGGTGAGCTTTTTTTTTCACTCCAAGTTTTCATCACTGGTGGAGCTGTTCCCAATGTCCTTCCCTGGTGATTCTTCACTGAAGATAAGATAATTGCCAGCTTTTCCTTTACATATAGTTGGGAAAAAAAAAAACGAGATCTAGCAGTCATTTCTTTTCTTTTATTTCTTTCATCTTCAACATTAGTCTTCAGGTTACAGGGATCCATTTTATGTTTAACTAAACCATAGCACCCAGAGAATTGCTGTGTGTGCATATGTATCTCTGTGTGTGTCTTTTCTCCTAGGAAAGTAAATACAGTTATTTGCTTTCGAACATTTCTAAGAATTCTGACTCCCCCCCTAGATTTTGTAACACAGAGTGTACCCTGTGGACTGACCTAATGCACACGTATCCCCTGGCTTCCCCTAGCCAGGAGCTGGGAAGCACTGACAGGCAGCACTGTAACCCGAAGAGTACTCTGCTGGTAGATTTCCTAGTTTTTCCATGACCTTGGCTGAGCAAATGTTCTTTAGATTTGACCTGGAAAACCCTTGCTTGTGTGTTTTCTAGTTTCACAATCCACTACTAATGTACCTTCTTCACTTGGGCCACCCACCGTGATTCTTGTCCTGGATTCCCCAAGCCAAATACCCATCATGGGATGCTTTGGTGATGTGGATGGATGGGTGTTTGTATAAGGGTTGAAAACGAGTTTTCTAAGTTGAGAGGGCAGGACAATTACTTATACTCTGAAGCCCCTCCACCCCCACCCCTGCTTGGGCTCTTCCCAGCACTTCCTAACAGTTCCCTATGTTTAAAACAAGAAATCATAATCATCGTGAAAAAAAATTCGGGACTTCAAGTTGGGTTCTTAGCCTGTTGGCTTCTTAAGTTAGGTGAGACCTTTAAAATTCAGTAAGTAATAGTTCATGATTTTTATGAAAGCTATTTGATTTTTTAAAAAAATTTTTCAGCAGTCTATTTTGTAGGCTCAAAATAATATTATAAAATAATCAGGTAAAATGAATTGCACTGGTTTCTTGCTATTTGATGATTTTAATTCTTTGGCTAGCATTGAAAAATTAAAGGAAATTCGATAGAAAGTAGTAGTAACCACTAAAGGGAAGAAGGGTGATATGTTAACTTCAAAATCAACTCTAAATGTCAGAGTCAAAAGGTCCTTCCACCAACTCACACTGCCTCATCATGGTCTGAGCCCTTGTTGGATGAGTAGAGAAAACATTTACAGAAGCCCTGGAAAGACCTTCAGACCTAGAACTGAGAAATACGTTGAAGAGTTGCTAGAATAAGTCGTCTATTCATGCAGTGGGAAGTCAGGTTACTAAGGAGCACTTTGTGATACATTAGTAACCAAACTCCCTTGGGGTGTCTCCTAGAATGACCTTTATCACAATAGCTACAATAAAAAGACAGATAGAGAGCTATTAGCGTGGGTGGAAAATAGAGGAACACCTCCCTAAAGCTATAACAATTCTGAGATTTCTGCAGGCCTGAGGACATGTGCACACAAAGGATTTGGTCTCCTTTCAGTTCCTTCTGTGCCCTCTTAGGAGGCACTTGACTTGGTACCAGAGGTAGTAGTGGGGGAGCTCTTTAATCATTACTAACCACGGATGGGTCCTTCTGTGTCAGGAGGAGGTGCTGCTCCCAGCTTCTGCAGCAAACTGCTGCACACTTTGGTCGTATGTCAGTTCTCAAGCTGAGCTGTCTCTTACACTAGATAGAGTTTGCTGTTTGTTTAAATAATAACAACAACAGACAGAAAGTTCATTCTTTCTGATAAGTCAGAGCATTTCTTTTTCCTGCTGAGGTTAAAATATTCTGTGTGTTCTTTCCTAAAAGAGGAAAGAAAAGGAAAAAAAGAACAATTTTAAACAAAGACAAATGAAACTAGATATTTTAAATTTTACCAGCATTTTTCAAAAAGGGAGTAGGCAATGTTTTTCCTTAAAACAGCTATTAATTCAAAATAATGTCAGAGCAGTCTTTCATCTTCTATCTGATTTTATCCACACAATAATTAGCTGTCTCTTGTGAAAAGGGCAGGGGGAGAGGGGAGGGCCTTTGTTAGTGTGTCTCTCTGGTGTTAGAATTGGGAAACAGAATTGCCAAGTGAGTTCTATGGCTTCAAGGCCAAGGTCAGACTTTCTTACATTTCTCCTGACTTGCAACTTTGTGTCCTTGCCTTTAGACTGTCCCTGAAGATCCTGCTTGGCTCACTTCTCTTGTTTCGTAGAATCTGTTGTCAAGAATAGATCCTCTTGTGCTCAGCCTGTCGTCTGTATTATGCAGTCAGTGATTCTGTAGCTGTTGATGAGGGTTCTGAGGCTGTGCTTGTTTTTACATTGGCCTGATGGTTCTAAAAGGTGGAAGGGTACCAGGGAGGAGGGGATCGGCTCAAATCACAGCTGCTCATCTCTTTGGCCTTGCTGATTCTGAGAGGCTCCCAGGGAGGGGACACATCTGAATGTGAAGTGAGTGGGGATGGTGCTAAGAGATCTCTTCCCAGCCATTTTGAGAACTGTTTTCCCAACCTCCGCTTTTCTGAAATAGTTTTGCTTCTATGTTACCAAATTATTCTGGTGGAGGTAGACGTTTTTATATAGCCTAGGCAGTCAGTGGTGTTACTCGTGGCTGTGTCATCATTTGGCTTCTTTCTTCCTTTCAGACCGAAACATGAACATTTTGCAATACTGCCCCTCTTCCGACATCTGGACGCTGTTTGAAACATGTGACGTCCACATTCGCAAGCAGCAGATGGTGTCCGTTGAGGAGACCATCTACATCGTGGGGGGATGTCTCCATGAACTGGGGCCCAACCGGAGGAGCAGCCAGAGTGAGGACATGCTCACCGTGCAGTCCTACAACACTGTCACCCGGCAGTGGCTCTACCTCAAGGAGAACACGTCCAAATCGGGTCTTAACTTGACTTGCGCACTTCATAATGATGGCATCTACATCATGAGCAGAGACGTTACCCTATCCACCAGCTTGGAACATCGAGTTTTCCTCAAGTACAACATCTTTTCAGATAGTTGGGAAGCATTTAGGCGTTTCCCAGCCTTTGGACATAACTTGCTGGTTTCCTCTCTTTATCTGCCCAATAAAGCAGAAACCTAACTGAATTGACTTAGTATTTAAAAGAAACCTGGTTCAAGACACACATACAAAAAAAATGGTGGTGTCCCTTTTCAAGGGAGACTGATTTCTAAAGGGAAATTGTGGTTAAAGTAGTCACATATACAACAGCTGTAAATAAGCTTACCTGAACTAATTACTTGAAAACTGTGGAGAAAAGAGACCAACGTTATTATTTTTTTAATTATTGATTTTTAAATGATGGGAGCAAATCCATAATAATGTTTTCATTCAAATATGATACCCTTGAATCAATAACTGAAACTGATCATCAAAAAGAAGATTCATTTGTATCTGCTTAGTAAAGGGCCAAAGTCAAGAATTGGTGTGAATGGTAAAGATGATTTTAAAATCTGTTTTATTTAGGTCACTTGAAATATCATTAATACCTTAAGGGAGAGATTTCTTTGTTGTTATCAATTTACTTGACAAACACTGATTTTAACTATCATTCTCCCTTCCTCTCCCCAGTCATACCGCGTACATTTCCAGTATGTTTAAAATATGGTTCTATGTTCAGATTTTTTATTTGCACACTACTTTCCAGAACAGTGACAATGATGGAACCCTATAGTGAATTCTTGCAAACATCCAGTCCTCCCCAAAACTTGCATGAAAACATTCTCAGCTATTTTTCCAGTCTTTTTTGCGATTATGGATGCTGAGTAAAAAGGCAGATATAGCCTCTTGCTTCTATTATGTGGCAGATTGCAGATTTATGTGGTCAGATAAGTTGCATTGCTGGCATTCTGTATTGTTTAAAAGAGAGGATGTATTGTTTAAAAGCATGGATATGTATATTTTTAAAACTGAGTCTTAAATTTAAGTATAAAGGGAAGGAAACACCAAATGAGGAAAAAATTGCCTTTAAGAGTTACTTTTATTGAATGTATTTGACTTAGTTCTTTTTGTAAGATTGAAAAAATCATCCTGTTTAGATCAGGCATCTTTCTGCTTTAATCTTAGCCCTTAATTCATGCTTTGCTTTCGTGGGGTAAAGGGAGGATAGCTGTGAAGTATTTGTGCTGGAGAGAGGGGAAGAAACTCATCCGGATGTGGAAATGGCATCTGGTGGTCTTTCTGATGTTAGGTAGGCTGCTCTGCTTGCCTTGGTTGTGAAGTCAAATGGAACCCAGCTCAGGCAGTTGTTTGTTTTCAGTAAGCCAGTTAACAATGAATAAAAGCTTCTGCCAATCATGGATCAGCATTTCTTTAAAAATATATACATAAACTTATAGAAAGTTTATTTTGATTGAAAAACGCTCTCTGAAATTCTCTGATCTTTTGTAATGGAATCAGTTAAACTGTGAGCTGGATTCCATCTTTCTTTTCTAACATTCCGGTTACAGCGTGCCTCACTTGAAGAAAGTCCCCTAGGTAAACAAATACGGCAAACTCATGCGTTCAGTAGACGCTGAGTGCCTCCCGTAAGCATTCACTGTGCAGTCGTAGTACAGCGGAGTTGAGTACTTTCACAGAGTTCTTCAGTTTATCAAAAGGGTCGCTACAGGGTGTCTTTACAACCATGGCCTCCTAGTATATTTAAAATAAGAGTCTCGTTGTAAAAACTCTATTTGCACATCTTTTAGGAATACTTCGATTAGGGAAGATGCGGTAAGCCTTTATGGTGGACATGGAGACAGATCTTTGTATCTTGTCACCATATAATCTTCTCAGTATTCTACCTACAGCAGTATTTAGGGGTTTCTAAGCCATATCCATTTATTCTCAAATACTTAGCCTTTATTTTCAAACTCTGAACTGAAATCTTCCTGGAATGGTACTTTAATAATAGATTTATATTAATTTATATTCACTAGAGTATTGAGTTTCCAGTGACCTATAATTGCATTACATATATTTAAAAATTTAATTTATTTTAGATAGTTTAACTTGTTGCTACAGAGCTTAACTTTTTTAAGGCTTAATCTTATATGTTCAGAAGATTCTAGCCAGTTAAATTAGTTCTGGTCAAACAGTTGGACATTGGCTTGTAAATAACCACATCATAAAAAATATAATATTACTCCTGCCAACCAATTCTCTTCCTGATTACATTCTTTGGGTCTGTTTTCCTAATGCCAACAATTAGATTCTTGGACCAAGTGAAGGCATACTCTGATCCACAAAGCTCTTTTTATAAACCAGTTTTGATGTGTGTGTAAATGTGCATATCTGTGTATGTGTGCATATGCTGAAATAGTATAGCTCTCTCTGAGATACACAGACTTCTAACAAGGTTTTGTTACTCTGGGCTGCCAGTAGCACTTGGGCAAAGGGGAATGTGCAGTAAGAAGAGATCTGTGGATTTGGGACATCGTGCTCCCTGTAGCACACATCAGCTATGTGGACATTTTGAGGGTAATTTTAATTTAGTTCTGTTCTCTTGTTGGTGCCAATGTTATACTGAGGACTCTCCCTACGATGAAGGCAATGTTTCTTTGAAAATCTCCCCTTATCTCCCAGGACTTTACTCTTTGGTGATCTGTCTATTTTCTTACTTTCTCTAAGTGCTTTATCCTTCTTTTCTGAGATGCCTTCTGAGGGACGCTGACCTCCCACTAGGGAGAGGGGAGTTACTGGGAGGACCCTCAGGGGTAGCCACACTGCCAGAAGCAACCTATTTTACTGAGAATGGTCTGAATGGCAGAGAGTGAATCCTGAGTATGGATTGGTAGAGGGAGGATGTTGATTCTTTCTGTCATTCTTTCTGGCTTTCCTTTCAACACCCCTTGTTTCAGGGGCCTCTCCCCTTAGCATCCTTTAAAAGTTTTTCTGATGAATGTGTAAGAATTGATTATGTCAACGGTATTAGTTAAGTCATAGCAATGAAGTACTGAGAAGGTTATGGATACTAGTAAGAAACAAGTAGGTTAAGATAAAGCATGAGTACCAAAGAGAATTTAACTGCCATTTTTTTTTGAACCAAAATCCTAAGTAACTCTAAATGCCTTAGATATCAGTTAAAGTTGTACTGAGATGGACAAAGCTCTTTCTCTGCAAAGGGAGTAATCAAGTTAATGCCTGTTCTCTTTCAATAAACAGTTATTTATTGAGCATTGTGGATGCCATGTTTTCAGATTTCCAGGTAAATTCATGACCTTACTTGTTTGGCTGCACAGGTGAATCGGGTGGAAAGGCCTTGGTCAACCAGCATTTAATGAGCAGTAGCTTAATGCAGAGCACTCGAGAGGCAGCATAGCAACAGAAAGGGAGTATGGGTGAGTTGTTGGGTGCCCTTCTAGATCAGGGATGGGGAATGTAGAACGTCTGTGCCACCATTCTTTCAAGGTGGCGTTATGAGTGAGGGGCACTCCTTTCCTCTGTGCCAGGAATTAGTCTCAGAATCTATGTCATCAATACTTCCAGGCATCCATTACAGTCCGTCAGAGTGAGATGAAGCCTATTTGTCATCCCTCCCTTAGACAGAGGGGTGAATGAATTAGGTGAGTAGATACCACCCAATATGGCTTTGAAAGCAGTGAGCTGATTCAGCCCAGTTCCCAGTTCTTAGTAGTACTTACTGTCTACCATGTGCAAGACAATGCTAAGAACTGGGGATACAGACATAAAGAAGCCACCATCCCTGACCTTGAAGAGCTTACAGCCTTGTGAAAATGTTTGCAGTAATCATGACTTGAGTGTCCTCAAAGACACCCACTTTTGTCAGGCACACTGGGGCTCCCCGGCCTGGCCACCTGTTAAGTCCTGGCACAAACTATCCATTGCTTCATCATTTACTAACAAACATCATGAACCAGCTTATCTCTAAATTTGAACATCACATCCTATGTTTTCGTTTTGTTGTGGTATGCTTTTTTTCTCACTACTTTTCGTAGTCTTCTCTGTACTTCATTTTTTGAAAAAAAAATTGTATGTGGCCTGCTTGACTTAAAAATACTTACTAGCCACCACAGCCTATGTAGCTGAGGGCTCAGCAGCTTGATCCTGTGAAAAGGAGGCACAAAGCCAGGGAAGTAAGTACTGGGAGAGAGGCAAGCTGTTTGCATGTGTGTTTATACCTATGCCTTTAAGATACTTTTATAAAAAGTATTAATAAAGAAATGGTCGTTAGGATACTAGTCCTGACTGAAAGTCAGTTGATTTTGCCTTTGTGATTTTGCCTATCAAAGGGTAGTTTTCCATCCTTATGGTTCATTCACATAATAGTATTTGTTTTTCATTTTCTTGTGTTAACTTAGGAACACGATATAAAATACACACCAAATGGCACATACTGACTTCTGCACTTGACATAACCATTTTTATCCATTCCTACAGGAGATGGGTTAAATGTAAAAGATGGCCAATTTTGAGGAGCAAAAGGGTGCTGAAATGACTGGTAAGGTCGGCTGCTGCTTTCTCAATTGGATGCCATGGTTTATTACTAGTGAAGAAAAGGAAAATGTAATTTGCATTATTATGTCATTTTTCTAAAAAAAAGTCTTAATAGGGGCTCTTTAGATGTCTACAATGTTTTCCTATGTAGTGGTCATTTTAGGAAAAATGATAATCTGTAGAATGAATAGTTATGTTTGTTATGACTGATACTTTCTTTGTTGAAAAGTTTGTATTGAGTCTTCAATTTCAAGTGTGGCTTAAAATGTAGACATTATCATCTGATTCATTTAAATGCAAGGATGCCTCTGAAGCACTCATTCAAACAGCATTCGTTTTGTGTTTATGACTAGAAGTATAGAAGAACATCTCTTCAAATAAAATAGTTTTAAATCAGCTTCTGTTGTCCATTAGGTCTGTGTACCACCTGTGTTTTCAGGGCTGTGCCAGAGCTGGGAGGAAAAAGGTGAAGCAGGAGACAGGTCCCTGCCTGTGGAAAGCTCCTGATGCGCAGGGAAGGCCGGACTAACACTGGTGAACCAGGTAGAGAGGTGGTGATCCTGTTGGAAGGAAGAGCCAAGTGGGGCAGCAAAGGTACTGAGAGCTGTTAGAGTTTGGAGAAGACAGATCAGAGGAGAGTCTCTGAATCCTTATAATTCTACATAAAAGAATGAAGTTCTAAATGCACAGCTTAGCAGTTATGGCCCACCATGATCTGTTCCCCCTTATATTTTCTAACTTCCCACTGTTTCCTTTTAGCACCCGTCACTCCTGGAAAACAGAAACAACTTCTTGCTCTTCTATTGCGTTAGTTATGACTCTGATTGACCGTGAGGCTGGGAGGGCAGCGTCATAAAACGGGGTTCAGTTATTCGACAGCATCTACAATGTCCATCCCCTTCCATCCTTTGATTGCCCCACGTTGGGGAACGTGCTTGCACATGCCCTTCTTATACATACAATTTTAAGAATGAGCCACCTTAGAATAATACGACTACCCCATAAAAAACCCACGGTATACTCACCTTTTCCCCAAGGGAAACAGTCAAAAATCAGATCCAGCTCCTGCATCCAAGGGGATATCATGGCTCACTGAGTCCTAAGTCCAGGGTTGTCAGGGTATGTCCATCCCTCCGAAGCCTGTGGGTGCCCACTCAGTTCTGACAATCGATAAATGAGTGAATAACTCAACTATTTCCTGCACACCCAGAACACAACAAAACAGCCACACCAAACGCTAGTTGAACACTTACTCTGTGCCAGAGACGCTAAGCATTTTTTATTTAACTTATTCAGTCCCCACAACAGTCCTGTGTGGTAAATATGAGCATTATCCCACTTTACAGTCGAGGAAACAGGCACTGCAGTCACAAGTTGCCGTTTGGGGAATGGGAGAAGGGAAAACTGCACACAATAGTCACTGGTCCAAATCGTATACTTTTTCCTGCTGGTGGAGGCTAGCAAGGGCTCCCTCCCTTGGGCTGGAGTGGATTTCTGGTCAGCCACTCTGGGAGTCCTTGGTTCTGCTTTGCAGCAGGATGTTCCAGCTGTGCCTGAGTGGGTGTGCCCGTGTGGCAGCCCTCTTCATGTTGGCATGGTGATGGGAGGTGTGTGGAGGAAGCCCAGAATGTCTGTAGAGGCTGAGGAATCCCAGGCCCCTGTTTGCAGGCCATACACATTTCCTTGGCAATAACCCCTTCTAAAGAACCCAGTTAGATGCTGGTAGATCTGATCTCTGGCAACTCTGTGGGCCAAAGGCCCGGCTCTAGCGGAGCCCAGTTCCTTGAACTTGGAGCCCATCTTTGTGATTTCTGTCTCTTGGCCACAGACATGCTGCCTCTACCCTTCACCCTCAGCTTAAGGGTTCCAATCCTTCCTCAGCTTTGGGACAACCTGATACAACAGGGGTCAAGCCTTGCCAGACTGCATCCCGGAGAATGCTGCTTTAGTAGACATGATTGCTTGTATGTGGCAGGAGGGCTTTGGGGATGAAATTCCCACCCCATTTCTTTGCCTCCTCCAAAGGCCCAGTCCTACTATATTTTTCCTGACTATCTGTTCATGCACCTCTGATTGAAACAAAGACTCTGGCTCTTGCAGTTCTGCAAGGCATGTATTATCTGCCGCTCCACAGTCACCTGGCTGTAGGCAGAAGGATTAGAAGCTTGGGCTCCAGAGCAAGACTGGCCATGTTTACTTCCCAGTTCTGCCAGTTTCTAGCTGTATAGCCTTGGTCAGGTTACTGCATCTCCCTGGGCCTCAGTTTCTTTCTTTCTTTTTTTTTTTTAAGATTGGCACCTGGGCTAACAGCTGTTGCCAATCTTCTTTTTTTTTTTCCCCAAAGCTTGGCACCTGGGCTAACAACTGTTGCCAATCTTTTTTTTTTTTTTCTGCTTTATCTCCCCAAACCCCCCACTGTACATGGTTGTATATCTTAGTTGCAGGTCCTTCTAGTTGTGGGATGTGGGACACCGCCTCAGCGTGGCCTGATGAGCATGCCATGTCCGTGCCCAGGATCCGAACCCTCGGCCGTCGCAGCGGAGCACGCGAACTTAACCATTAGGCCACGGAGCCGGCCCTTCAGTTTCTTTATCTGTAAAGCAGGGATAACAACAGTGTCCACTCTATGGGATTATTGTGAAAATTGAATAAGGAAATCTGTGTAAAGTGCACAGAACGACATCTGGCACGTAGTCAGCATGTAATGAAAGCTCTTCAAAGCTGTCAGCTGTTTCCTTCATACCTTCAAATACACTAGTTTGGCTGGCAGCTTATGCCTTTCTTAAAATACCCTACTGAAGCCTTTAAGTGGTAGCTAACAAATCCAAGATCCTGATGTGTTTCTACTACTTCTCCGAAAGAGCTGGCTTGAAGGGTGTGAATCCCAACATACACAGTATAATCAGTTGCCTTGCTTCCCACATGAGGATAGGGATGGGGAAATCTACTTATCTCATCCTTCACCTTGTTTTAGCTGATTTGATATTTCAGCTCTAGATATTTGCAACATGCCAACCCAAGTACCAAACTATTAAGACTTCAATTGGACTAGCTCAGTTCATGAGTCCATGAGGTAACCACTGTGGCCGAGGGGTGGAGGGGAAGCTGAAGCTCAGCCATATGGAATGGGTTCATCTCAGATAACAGGGGTTCCACTTACCAGAAGAAAGGGGTGTCAACTTTTGACTCCCCAAAAGACCGTCTGAACAGCCTGTTGATTGAGCAGAGCGAAGTTTCTTACGTTTGCTTCAGTAGGGAGGGGTCACCACTTTGAAAGAGTCTTAGTCATGTCTCAGAAGGGAGGAGTCAGGTTTTCAGGCCTGGTCTGTGTGATTTTAAAGCAGGTCTTGAGACTGGGCAGAGCTTGATATAAGAGCTTTGGGCCCAGGGCTTAGTGGGCACTAGTCTTGATGAGTAAGCTATTAGTAAGTGAGCTAATTAGTTGGTTCATAGTTTTATGGAAGACAAGTTTTACAAAAATACTTGTTCCTGGATAAGCTTCAGCTGTAACTCTCTTGAGCGCATATATTTGTCTTATATAATAGTTCTCATGCGCATTTCTTATCTTGTTCTAGATTGCCATTTCTTTGATGATAACGTGTTGTATCTACCTTTTTGTCACCCTAAGTCAAGGCATACAGCAAAGCTTTGTATACAACAGATTCTTAACATATTTGTCCAGTTTGGAGGGTTTTGAAGCCTCCGAAATGTAGGTTTTTGCTTTATCCAGCCATAAAATTTCCCTATAGGAAATAACATCGTGTTTTCTTGATGAATGACTTTTATTAGGAAAACCTTGCAGTGCACTTTTCTCTTCTACCAATGTGCATAACCCTTCAAGCAGGTGGGAGATGTTTTGGCTTCTGGCTGGGGCTGGAAAGAAAATTGGCCCACAAACAGTAGTGATGCCAGTGCCTAGAGCTCAGGGGCACTGCAGGTAGATGGGAGTTCAACTCTATCACTTCTGTGTTCTTGTCAATGGAGTCGACATCAGGGCGTGACGGATATTATTATTGCACTTACAGAACCATTCTTTTTGTATGATCTGATTTGAATGCCACAAATATAGTTACCGGAACTTGAGCACTAGAGGAAAAAAGAAGTAAAAAATTTAGGGGAATGTTGCTACCAGAAAGTGTGTTGGGTCAGTGACACAGGGCCAGTTTCCGGTCTGTGCTCTGATCCCCTGTGGGCCTGTAAAGGATTTCCTGGAGGGAAAGGAAATACACAGAGCAGAGATAGCATCGCTCATGTCCCTTCCAGCCTGGTGGATTTTGAGGTGGTGCTGGGTGGAAGGACAAGAAATCAGAGGCAAGAGATCTAGAAAGAGGCCCTGTAATACAAGTGGTTTATGGCTGGCAGTCATTTTTCTCATAAAATCTTGTGTGTGTGCATGTGTTTGCCTCCTGGTCTTATTTTACCAAAGTTTCTGTAATTGAAGCAATGTCTTTTTGAAAGTCCAGGGGCTACTGTATTAGCTTCCTGGGGCGGCCGCAATAAATTATCACAAAGTGGCTGGCTTAAAACAACAGAAACTTACAGTCTCACAGTTCTGGAGGCTAGAAGTCTGAAAGCAAGGTGTCCGCAGGGCTGTGCTCTCCCTGAAACCTGCAGGAGAGTCCTTGCTTGCCTCTTCCTGGCTTGTGGAGGTTTGCTGGCAATCCCGTGTTCCTTGGGTTGTAGCTGCTTCATTCCTATCTCTATCTTTATCACTAGTATTCTTGTTGTGTGTCTCTGTCTTCACATGGCTGTCTTCTTAGAAGGATAGCAGTCATATTAGATTAGGAGCCCACCCTGCTCAAGTATCACCTGATTTTAACTTACCTAGTTATATCTGCAACAACCCTACTTCTAAGTAAGGCCACATTCTGAGATACTTGGGGTTAGGATTTCAACATGTCTTTTTTGGGGGGGACACAATTCAACCCATAGCAAGTACTAAATCTTATTTCAAAAGGCTTTTAAATTTACTTTTGAATTGTCTTTAACTTTTCATAATGCCATTCATTGAGAAGAGGTACGTTGCATGAAATGACATCTGCTTTCAGTTGCATGCTTCTCCCAGCTCCCACCTCTGCATGAGGCAATATGTCTAAAAGAACAGGAGAGATTAATTCTGCACTGTCAGGTTTTGATTTCTATTTTTAGTTGAAAACAAGGTGTCTTTCTTAGCTGAGTACATGAGTTAGCAGGTTCATACGTCAATAAATGATGTCTATGAATTTACTGCTATCAGTGTACAGTGTTCTACATAGGTTAATTTCTGCCACCCTCAAGTCTTTTTTAAGCACCAGCCACTGACTGGTATTTAAAAGGATATTTAAATATTTAAAAGGAAATCAAAGAAGCAGGAACTGTGGCAGCCCTGGCACTTGGGAACTCAAGAACAATCTCTTC